CCGTAGCGCCGCTGTCCGGACAAAATTTCCCACAGAGCACACTGTATGCCGTATGCCCGTCTTTATTAGCCTGGATGGTGTAGAAAAGTAGGACATTAAACCCCATTTCATTTCATTCGAGGGAATCACGTGGCTAAGTGGGTAAGACGCTGGCTCGCTAGCCTGGAGGTCGGTTGTTCGATCCCTGCATTGGCCGAGATTTTCCGGTGTGGTTCCCCCTTGTCAGTGATGCAGGACGGAGGGCCTGACAAGGACAGCTGTCTAGTCGTTCGGATGGGACGAAAAACCGAGGTCCCGTGTACATATTGGCGTGCACGTAAAAGATCCCTTGGCAGTTGAAATTCGATATAAAAGTAGGCCGTAGCGCCGCAGCCCGGGCAAAATTTCCCTCACAGCACACTGTATGGCGTATACCCGTCTTCATTAGCCCAGTTTAGGAGCAGAACAGTAGGACGTTAAACCCCATTTCATTTCATTTCATTCGATACTAAATAGTATGTACAGTTCGACAGATTATAAGTAACAAAGATCGATAAGTAGTTTATCTAAACAAGGGGTGATGGTGAAGCTATACACACCTGGTAAATTGCCGACGACAGGGGCTCTTGGGGACTTATTCACAAAATCATTAAACCCCATTTCATTTTGCCGACTACAGGCAGCTTATATCGCTGTAAAATTTACTTTGACTTCTCGACCATCTTATCTTATGCTTATAAAAAGGAGATCATTTCACGTATTTCCTGGCTACAGTTAATGAAAGACGCCGATCGTCAATAAAATAAAATATCTACGACATATGTAAAGTGATATAGCATTTACACTGACATGAAACTCTCGACTTGAACATCATACAATCCGTACCGGGCCGCGCGATGAAACCCTACCTGTGTTTCGCTAGGAGATACACGAATGGATTAATAAAGACATGGCCACGACATCCATACCTACGGTGAATAAAGCGAAAACATTCTTCACAAAATAAGATTAACTAAAATATGGTAGATGTCAATTATTTATATAAACATAAACGCCTATCATTTTTTGGATTTTAAGCCCCATACTCTTTGTGATTTGAAGAAGTGAGTAGCTAGAAATGAATTATTTTTCTAAGACGGGCACAAGTCGACACGTAAATGATGTCTACATTATCACACAAATCTTATATGCAATAGTCGTATTATTTATGTTTTTTCAAGTGGCGTTCAGAGATGGGTGTAGAGTTGGTCACGACCCCGGGGATCCATTTCAGGGGGAATCAAAACTAAGGGCTTTTTAAAATTTGAAATTACCGCTATTAACTTTGTTATACAAGCGCTTCTAATACTTAATTGGAATAAAATGTTTATTTCATATGTTTTTACCTATTTAAAATGTTGCCCTTCCTCACAGTCCTGAGTACCATGCCCTAGACTTGAGTCTCGTGGGTATACAATTAAGGAATTTGCCCCAGGCATCACCAAACCACTGCACGCTTGGATATCTGGCGGATAACAGGGTTATTATTATTGAGATTCTGATCTATATCGAAGATTAATCATTTCTTTGCACACCAAATCTTTCCTATACTTTGTATTTTGCTTTGCAGGCTCAAGCAAAACTAGCGATGGCAGACGTATGAATTCTAAGAAGGGAAGTAATAGCCCGTCGTGAGCGTGATGAGCAGCACTAACAGATTCCAATTGAAACTGGGTTTAATAACGTCTTACTTTTCTGTGCCAGCCGGGATAATGAAGACGGGCATACGTGAAGGTATGTTTGCCCTGATAGCGCTACGTCCTACTCTTATTTTGATTTCCATCTGTCAGGGGATCTTTCACGTCAATCCCAATCGAACGAAGACACTTTTCCACCTGGCACCATTGACAAAGGGATACCAAGCTGGAAAATCCCACGGAACTTTCTCGATCAACACCCTACCAAGCCTACGTGACTCCACAAATTTGGTAGTGCAGAAACACAAGCTCGTGAATAGAAAGTATACCCAGGTTGCTCTGTAAATTGTATGCATACCCTGTCTGGTGACCGCCCCCCATCGTAAATTAGTAAATTGAGCAATATATGATACGAGTAAAATAATTGTTTTGCTTAGTTGTTATTTTAGGAAAATATATCTAAAAGGCTGTTCGATTTCCAAAATGGTGTGCGCAAATAGCAACCAGACTGCTCTGCGGTAGTAGAGCACAAATGTTTGGTGTTTCGGTGACTATGACGGTGGTTGATTAACCAAGAGATCCAGGATTCCAGTGTTGACTGAGACATTTCCTCAGGATTGGTCAGTAATGGGGGGTGGTGGGCTTGACAAATTAAAACGTCTAGTCTTTCGGGTAGTGCTTAAAACAGTTAAATTCGATAAAACGAAGGCGGAAACACCGATATCTGGGCATAATTGCTGTTATAGTACAAAAAGAGGGCGCGGTTTAAATCCGATTTTCTTTTCTTTTCAACTTTGGGAAGTCCCCCAGAAGAATATAAGTCAAGACCTCTGATCACATGACGATGATCGAATGTGTGTCTTTAAAATCAGCCAATAAATCAATTGAACAGTCAACTAAAAAAGACAAAGAATAATCTTGTATTACCCTTCAACAGCTTTCAAATTGTGTATAGGCGTAGGTGTTAAGGGTCCAAGTGCCTGATGAGTATATTTACTGTAACTTAGATCAACCTTCAATTTCGTGACTCGGGGTTGAAGGGATTATTTCCCAGCTGCCTTGATTTCTGATCGGCCATCCATCAGCCGGGTTATTCGATAGCCTTTTATATACATTACCGATTATCTATAAATCTGTATGTAAAGAAAGTAACGTGACGCCATCTTGAACCGGTAATACGATATTTGAAAGAGAGTGCAGTATCCTATAGATGTTTGTATACATTGTTCAATATTTTTATAAAGGTACTTTAGAATTGCTCGGAAGGCCTGACTCAACAAATAGCTTTCTTTCTGCGGTGAGGATAAATGACTCGATATTTCCCGTCTCGGGGCTTATCTGTAAACTTGAAAAGTCAAAGAAGAGACCATAGGCTACAGAAATTTAATCGTAGAGAAACAACCCATCGAAGCTCTAACGTATTGCCTATAGTAACATCCTGTTACACAAACCCTTCTCCTGTCATCAAGGATAGTATCTTTATTATGTACTGCAAGAGGTTCTTTACCAGAGGTGCTCTTGCATATTGCTTATACCGACATATCAATAAAGTTACGCTTTAGATCGGGGTCCTACTAACAGCGGGTTTTGTTTGGTCAATATCACCCAAAGTATTGCAAAAAATGACCGACAAGGAAATATATGCTATAGATATCCATATTAAATGATTAAATAAAAACTGTTAGCCGTGGTTATGATTCGAATTTCAGAAATTCTAATGAAGATCCGTGCTAGAATGGTATGGATTTCCAGTGCATTCCCAATTGACCAGTCCGCATATACGTATGGGAGTGCATGGAATGTAAATAACACGTCACTATGCAATACCACAAGGTAAAAGCTCCATGGCAAGGTCCTGATATACGAATCTACAAAATTATAAATACCAATTGAAGGTGAATAAAACCCTGGCTGCGATATATAATGATACATTTCCACACCAGCATTCTTCCGATTCCTGCTATTCTATAGAACTTATATCAAATGGGAACCGTTTTTGATAACACGTTCAGTATCAAATTTTAGTTTCTAATGGACAACTCTTGGATTTACTTCCTGATAATGAGAATAAGCAAAGAGAAGCGAATCATGTAAATACAGCCGGTAATGCCACAAAACGCAGCATATATTTGTCTTAAATTTGTTTGTAAAAAAAAATGCAAAATGGGGACGATTGGTATCTAAAAGGAGTATCTGGTTTAGAGGGTTGGTTGGCTCTTTATTTTTGTCCCCCCGCCTTTCGAAGATGGGCATTTTCTGCTTAGGGTAAGCAGAGATAAGCAATTTGCTTGGTTGATGCTTTGGGACACAATAATTTTAGTTCTAATTAAGTGAGAGTGATGAAACTTGGTGTATAGTTTCAATACATCAATACCTTGACTAGGTTCGATAATGAGCATTTTCTGCTCAGGGCAAGCAGAGCGATAAGCAATTTGATTGGTCTAGACTTTGGAACACAATAACTAATATTCTAATAGAGCTAGAATGTTCACACTTGGATGGGGTGTTTGTTAGATGAATGCCTTGATGGAGTTCGAAGAAGACGATTTTCTGCTAAGGGTAAGCAGAGATAAGCAATTTGATTGGTTGATGCTTTGGGACACAATGACTTTTCTTCTAATTAAGTGCGAGTGATGAAATTTGGGATATAGTTTTATTACATCAATACCTGGACGAAGTTCAATGATGAGCATTTTCTGTTCTGGGTAAGCAGAGCGATAAGCAATTTGATTGGTCAAGACTTTTGAACACAATAACTCTCATTCTAATTGAGCTAGAATGTAGGTGTTTGATAATGAGCATTTTCTGCTCAGGGTAAGCAGAGCGATAAGCAATTTGATTGGTCAAGACTTTGGAACACAATAACTCTCCTTCTAATTGAGGTAAAATGTTCAAACTTGGTGTAGGCGTTCACGATAAAGACTGTCTGCTTACGGTAAGCAGAGATAAGCAATCTGATTGGTTGATGCTTTGGGGCACCATAACTTTGGTTATAATTGAGAGTGATGAAACTCTGAGTATAGATTCATTATATCATTGCCTTGACGAAGTTCGTTGATAATCAGTTTGATTGCTTGATACTTTTGAAAAATATAAATGTGCTATTAATTAATATTATCATCTATTTATTTGTGTCATCTATTTATTTTGGGATTTCGACAGGGGACATCAGTCTCACTGTTGGCTTGTTCAGTATTTTACTGGGGTAATTTTCATAAGATTCAATTGGTATTGATGTAGCTATTTAATGGGGTCCAATCCAGTTTACCCCCCCCCCCCAAAAAAAAACCCCAAAAACCAAACAAACAAAAAACAAAACATATAACACAAATGTCCCCATTTTGTAAATCAACTCAAACGTTTATTGCATTAACTATTTGGTGCAGCAGCTATATAAGGAACTCATATACTACAACTATATATAGATATTAAAATAAATATTTTTTATAATACTGTTTCATATCAATTTATGATTATCTTTGGAATTATAATTTTCATTTTATATTTTTATACAATTCAGTAAAATTAGATTTTTAATTCGGTCGATTTAAATATTATGTTGGAATATATGAAAGGGAGCGACAGCCACGTAGGATTAGCCCAAACGGGAGCTTTTGGCTAGTTTAAGATTTTAGCATTTTCAAATAATTGAATTCAGTAAAGTTTGTTCACAAACTGATTTTGACACGATTCGACTAAATCAAGAGCGATAAATCTGTGAATAATTGACGAAATAGGATCTGTGTTTTAGTCCAATTGGGTCAAATCAAACAATCTAATTTTAATTAGATTGATTATATATAAATATTATTATAAATAGATATTGCTCTGGAAAATAATGTGTACATATAATAAATATCGTTTATAAAACTTTACATATAAAATATATCATTTTAAATAGGATTGTGGTAATACTGTTAATATAAATACTATTTTAATATGAAATGAGACAGAACATCACATCTATTTATTTCCATGATAAATAGATATACCCTTATATTAAATGTTTTTGCAACATATACCATGACTTCATTCTACTGACAATTACTATAGTTTATACGTTTTTTACATCATAATAAGCAGGGGCGGATCCAGGAATTTTTGCTGGAGGGGTTTGCCAGGTTCCTGAGAAAATGTATCCCCACCACCCCCATCAGCTTTAAATTTTTTGAGAAATACTTAGTCTCTATCGTCATTTTGGCATATATACACACACATTGAGCTTTTTCAGAGAAATCCAACATCCTGTTTGACGTCAATTTTTATTATGAATTAATACGATGACAATGTGATTCATTAATTGTGATATCACATATGTCTATATCATTATCTCGCGCTTTGAGTGCCCATCCCGTCGCACCATCTGACGATAAAGGATAAAGCACAATTATGACACTTTTCCCATAAAAAAGGTTGTTTTACAAAATTGTTTATGTAGCTGAGTGGGTGGGGGGCTGGGGGAAGGGTGGACCCCCCCCCCCCCCCCCGCTGGATCCGCCACTGATAAGATAATCTTCTTCCATTGTTTTTTTTATAGAAAAAGTATATTTGTAATACAGAGAACTCAAATAATAAGCCAACAATAAAATAAACAAATATTAATATACATGGAAACAGCTTTGCATCTAGTTACCATTTTAGGGCATGCATTTCCAGACTATCACTATCTGGTTCTAATACAATTTTTTTTCACTAATATAAAATTTTAAAAAATAACAAAAAACAACCCAAGACATATAATACCCTTTCGGGTTTGCAATATCAAATGAATTAAATATAGGTCTAATACAAATTTTCACACTTAATATAAAGTTTAAAAAAACAAAAACAATCACAAAATCATATAATACCCTTTCGGGTTTACAATACAGTATGAATTAAATATATATCTGATACAAATTTTGTCACTAATAATATAAAATTATAAACAGACAACAACAACCCAAGAACACACATAATACCTTTCAAGTTTACAATACAGTATGAATTTAAAAATATATATCTGATACAAATTTTCTCACTAATAATATAAAATTACAAACATAAAACAACAACCCAAGAACACACATAATACCTTTCGGGTTTACAATATCATATGAATTAAATATGGATCTGATACTAATTTTCTCTTGTGATATAGAATTTAAAAAACAAAAAAACAACCCAATCCATATAACTTTTTGGGGATTACAATATCGTATGAATTAAATATGGATCTGATTCATGAAATTTAAAAAAACAATTATGTAATACCCTATCGAGTTTACAATATCGTATGAATTAAATATGGATCTGATACAAGTTTTCTCACTTCATAAAATTTTAAAAAAATATAACAAGAACAACCCAAAAGCTATCGGGTTTGCAATATAATATAGTATGAATTAAATTTGAGTCTAATACAAATTTTCTCACCTAATACAAAACTCAAAAAAACAACCCAAACCATATAATAACCTTTCGGATTTACAATATCACAGCCTTATCAATAACAAGTATTAAAATTTATACATCATATAATATTATAACACAACAAATTCATAAAATTGTTAATATATTTGTTTAAAATATCACAGTGTTTATCAATATATACAAATAAATCAGCAGTATCATTTGCCTTATACCTTAACAATAACATAACAAGAAAATTTAACCAAATTCAGAGAATAATGTATTAAAGGATTATTATCAAATATTTTTTTTTTATTGAAAAACATTAATATTACATACATTAAGGGTTGATATATGTGCCCTTCCATCTAAGGTAATACTATAGACTTATTATATGGACATTTAGTTCAAATTAACACCCAGATTTAAGCAGCTACAGTATGTCCAATCAACTCATAGTTATTTAAGTTTATACATCTTATGATAATCAAGTGATATTGAAGTTTATACATTGTATGCCCACATCAAGTGACATTGAAGTCTATAAATTGTATGCCCACATCAAGTGACACTGAAGTTTATACATTGTGTGCCTCAGATCATATTATAATTGCTGTTTACATTGTATGTGTCAATCAAGTTTAATCACTGTATGCGCCAATCAAGTGTTACTGTTATTGAATCTTATGCATTGTATTCCCAAATCAAGTGACACTTAAGTGATATATGAACTCAACAATTATACAGGGTCACCTTCAATATCTTAATAAACAAATAATATCACAGCTAATAGAAATACTATTAAAAAACATTCCAAAACAAAATAATTTTAATCAGTTTATGTATTAATGAATAAGAAATGCTTCAACTAGTTTTATTCCTTTGGATAATACATCAATATATTACCTTTACCTAAAAACTTATACATTGGTGAAAATGATAGAAGACATATTCTAGGCTACATACTGATTACCCTGTTGCAGTTTTTGTTTCTTTGGTAAAGTTAGATCCCATATTCTTATAGTGCCATCATCACTACAGCTTACTATCCTGTCATCAGAAACCTGAAATATTAAATTTAATACCCATTGTATTAGTACATGGAGGAGAACCCCACCACACAGAAATCCAAAACATAAGATAAACCTGCGGACATGATATACAAACAACACAGGCATTGAAAGCAATAAACAACAAATATTACATTAAATCAAGTGAATGGATCTGGGATATGTACATGTATACTATTCGAGATTGATAAGTCATCCACTTAACCAATGATTATGAGTTTTTGCTGCATCTATTTTTTGTTAGCACCAAAACTTTTAGTTCAGTCATGATGTTATCAATACAGTAGATCACTTTACATGTTAAACATGTTGTATAATATCGAAGTTATTAAAGGACAAAAATTCAAAAATCAAAAACAATTAGACAAAAAAGAGAAGTTATAGACAGCAGGATAGGCAACAATTGGTAACCAAAAATCTAAATCTGACATTTCTTTTTAAAGATACCTATTTTATTGATAGATCCTCCAAGAAATATATGATCAGTTCCTTTGCAGCATAACCTAACAGTTGCCAATTAGTCTTTCACTGGGGGTTTAGAGAGTATCAGACATGTGTCCTGAATGGGGGTTCGGACCATTCCCAGCTCGCCCAGAGCATTTTTCTTTTCCTACATTTATAAAAAAATGTGCTAAGCATTACCACCATTTTGGCCTCACTCCACTCTAATCCAGTACATGTATGCACCTAAGTAAGCAGAAATATTGTCTGAGAGCTTCAGACTTTATTAAAATCACGGTTAAGCCCCCAGACCTCTTGCCTAACTTGGTATTGTCTCCACCTTGAACATGCCTGAATATTACCTTGATATCTCAACTCACCAGCCCACCTTTGAAAAGGAATAAACTTACAAAGTAACGTGTTGAATTTAGGATGTTGTATGTATTGCAGTTTATTCAACTTTATTTTATTTATGTATAAATAATTTCACTTTAAGTCATACAAGAGTTTACTAAAGTATATTAGTGTAATTTGCGTGAACTTTTAATCTTGTGTCTTAATATGGAAGGTTAAATATGACAGTAGTTGGCTGTACATTCTACTCTAGCTTAGCAACACTACTTCACATGACCATGTTAATTGGTATTTAGATACACACTGCTATATTAAATATACATATCAAATACCTTATCTACCTTTACATCATAAAGACTTCAATGTTGATACAATATCAATAACATGGGATGGATAAGAGACCTAAACAACAAATCATTGGTCAAACAGATACATATAGAACACAAACTGAAAAACGCATTCCTAATGCTTAAAGCAAGCAAGTGGAGTTCAAATTCATTGACTCTGACAAACTTAACTTTTAACTCTTGATAGTGTAGCTGCTTAAATTTTATTGGGGCCAAATCTGGACATGGTGAGGTACCTCTTATCAGGGTTCAGCATAAATGGAGTATGGTAGCCTATATATAACACCTGATTCACATCTCTATTATTTGGAAAGTTGATATAGCTAATTATATTGATTTATAATATACTTTTGTATCCTGTAGCTTTAGTTTCAGAAAACCATTAGGAATACAGATAGCTAAGATAATTCTTTTAGACTTTTCTATGTTAATTTAAGCTTGTCGATTTTTTTTTTTTTAATATCTATAAGGAAACATTTTCGTGTCAAAATTCCATCAACATTACGCCCAGGAGATTGTAAATGGTAGTAAATAAAATGATATTTCCTGTCTGCCTCTGTATTTTCAGAAGCATTCATTTATCCTGGTAGTAAAAGTATCCCCATATTATCTCTTAAAATCAGACAATCTTTTCAAGGATAAAATGTGTGGTCTATTTTTAACGCTTATGGTTCAACTAACAGAAATCTTATCACAGAAGTGTTACTGTAACCAAAACATTATGAAAATATAAATTTATATAATCATAGGCTTATAAAATAGCATTTCCTTAATAAAACATAGTTTATGGGTTTCTTACTTAAAACCAAAACATTGATGCATATTTACATAGTGTTTCGCAATGTTATCAGCATATAAAAAAATAACTATTAACATAGAATGACAATAAAGGCACTCGGTAGGACATAACGATAATAGTTTACCGGTGTTCATTTTTATTTCATTCACATCGCAGTAAATTGTCACACAGATAAGCCGATGCAGGTGTTCACCAAAATATAATTTGAAGCAATCAGGTTTTATAAAATGTTAATATGACATGACATAATCATAAATCAAATTGTAAAATAGAATGGACTTCTCATCATGACAAATGTCAACATATCTGAAACGACTTACGTAGTTGAATACGTGTGTTTTGTTGTGTTTATGAAAAAAAACCTGCTTTTAAATATACTTCACAGAGCACTGCATACAATCATGTCAACTGCAGTCAACCATAAAAATGCAACTGACATCTTTTGAAAAATACAATGTTCTTTCAAATACAAGATTAAAACAATTTTGGAATGGACATCTTTGAAATTTTAAAAAGAGACAACGTATTCTGGGGGGTGTTTCTCATTAAAACTTACATTAGTATGCCCCCTCCCCCCTACATAAATATGAATGTAAGTTTATATAAATTCAATTTAAAAAAAATATTTTTTTTTTAATTCAGCGCCGACTTATTCTGATACTCTCTGGATTAATATGAAAAAAGTGAATTTCTAATAGAAAAACTTTTAATGTTGGAGTCTACTCGGTGTTGGCCAAGAAAGTTCCTCAGAATTTTTCCAATTGGTTTCCCCTAGCAAGGAACAGTATATTTTCATTTGGAAGTGACAGAAAAGCTTTTGCAATTATAATTCAATGACTGACATGTAGGGTGTAAACGCTACTATCCTGGCAAAACTGTCAATGAAATAATAAAAACTAGTATGTCGAAACATGACAGCATTGTTATTTTGATCGATGTCCATACTAGACGGCGATTTCAGCATGGACCCCGCTTGTCAGTTGTGCATGATGGAGCCCCCCCCCCCCCACTCAACTGATTGAACTCTTTAAAATCTACTCCCTTCTTGATCTAATTAATTACCACCTTGTTCAACAGTTAAAATCTACTTGCTCTTTGATCTGATAAATCACCACATTTGACAACAGTTACACCTGATTGAACCCTAAAATCTATCCGCTCCTTGATCTGATAAATCACCACCTTGATCAACAGTTACACCTTTCAAGCAGATTACTTTTGTGGATTATACACAAGCATAACACCGACGGGCTCTTTAAAGTACAGTATACTACATTATCATATTGTATGTAAAGGTGATTAAATATATAATTATCTATATGGGAGGGGATTAACCAGGGTGCTGTGATCGACATTAGACCATCATAAACAATGACATGCTAAGTCGACAGGAATTAACTGGGCCTTGCTAAGAAACTTTGCGAGTATGAAATTACACGAGGAAGATGGTAATCTGGATGATAAAGAATAGAGGAGAACAATTATCGAGGTGATACAGAATGTAATTATTAGAGAAATGTAGCCAGGTCTTACCGATGACAACAAGAGGTTTGTTCTTACAAACAGTATCAAATTTTATATTATAAACTTTTAACCTGCGTAAAAAACACTTCATCTAGTATTAACATATACATGCGATCACCTTAAAGGGACTTTTATTTCTTTTATGAATACACAGCAGCGCATTTTATTTTTATTTAGTAGGTATATCCGAAAAACTCAATACATTCCATCTAGCTTATCTCATTTAGTTCAGATATCTTGATAAAAAAAGAATGTTTTTCTGTTCTTCAAATGGAACACTAAAAAAAAGGGGTAAAATATAAAATAAAAATAAAAATTGATCAACTAGGTACAGAGATGTGTTAATTCAGATTCTATATCTGTCTAGAGAGAGTGTGGCAAATAAGACCAGAGTAAATGAAATGAAATGAAATGGGGTTTAACGTCCTACTGTTCTGCTCCTATACTGGGCTAATGAAGACGGGCATATATGCCATACAGACACAGTGTGCTGAGGGAAATTTTGCCCGGGCAGCGGCACTATCGCCTACTCTTATATCGAATTCCAACTGCCAGGGGATCTTTTACGTGCATTCCAATATATACACGGGACCTCGGTTTTCGTCTCATCCGAAGGACTAGACAGCTGTCCTTGTCAGGCCCTCCGTCCTGCATCACTGACAAGGGGGAACCACGCCTGAAAATCTGGATAAACTTTCTCGGCCAATGCAGGGATCGAACACCCGACTTCCAGGCTAACGAGCCAGCGTCTTACCCACTTAGCCACGTGATCCCCAAGACCAGAGAAGAAAAGGCAACCATAGAACTTTCGGCACCACGATTGGGATCAAAAACCCAGGACCTCTTGTTAAGTGAGCCAGCACCTTATGCATTGAGCGAGTGTGACTCCCACTTTCTTGTGAAATGTGGCCACATTAAAATCATGTCGGCTGTAATTCAATCATATTTAATTTCATATATTTTATCAGAATTTTCCAGACACATATGATATATATATAGAGAGAAATGGGGTTTAACTTCCACTCGACACAAACTAGGTCATTTCGGGACTAACACATGGTTCAATTTCATTTCAATAATTCGCTTGCGTGTAGGGGTCTTTAGCAGTGGGAGGAAACCGGAGGACCCGGAGAAAACACAGGGGATTGGATAGGCGACCCTACTCCTTGTCACATACAACCGGGGAATCGAAACCCCGCCAGTTGACTCAATGACAGATCGCACGTGTTAACCATTCGGCCATCCAATCCCCCACATATGATATAACTCACATGATCACTTCGTTCGAAAAAGATAGATGTCTCTACTAAAGTGACAATATCTTGTCCAGGTTCTTAAAGTTACAATTTCATATTTTTAAGTTATATTTTTAAAATGTATTAAAATAAAGCCCTAAACTAGATGGTATCTATAAACAGTCCTACCTTGATAAAGAATAATCCTATTAATCCTATAATTCACTATTGCCAGTTGAGAAATAGGCAAAAATATCATTTTCAACTTCAAATTCAAAAGTTTGAAGATAGCTA